ATCCCCGGTACCAAAAAAAAAAAAAAAGATCCCCAGTTTGATCCGTGGTACCAAAAAAACCCCACAAAAAACTAATAATAGAAATAGTATATGACCCAGATATTCCCCTTCTAGGTATCTTCCTGAGTCAAAGATATATTACAGTGATACATACAAACCTATCTTTTTTTTTTAGTACTGGGGATTGAACTCAGGACATTGCACTTGTGAGGCAGGCATGGCACCACTGAGCTAAATCCTGGGCTCATACAAACCTATCTTTAGAGTAATATAATTTGTAATAGCTAAAGCTTTGAAAGGGGCCTATATGTCCATCAACAGATGAATGGTTAAAGAAAATGTGGTTTTTATGCACAATAGAGTATTACTCTGCTATAAAGAAGGATACATTTGTCACTTGTAGGAAAATGGATGCACTTTGAGACTATAACGTTAAGTGAAATAAGTCTGATTCGAAAGCTTAAAGATTGCATGGTTTCTCTTATATTAGAAATCCAAAGTATAAAGAGCAAAATAAGAGAATAGGAAACAGGGATATAGATCTTTTGCAATTGCTAAGAGGACCAAGAGATGGGAGGAGGGAGACAGGTGGGAAGGGGACAAAGAATTAAGATGTGTCATGTGCATGTACCAACACATACACACACACATCAAGAGCTAAAACCCCCAAATTTTACAGTTACTGTCTCATTTTATAGTTCTAATTGGGTGGGTGGGTGGGTGTTTTCCAGGGCTGCTCTGTGAGGCTCCCTTGGAAAAGAGCTAGGGTGTGAAAGACTGTCTAACAGGGAAGGCCAGGGCTCCAGAAGCAGGAAGACTTATGCGTGGTATATAAGGCAGACAGGAAGTAGATGTGTTTGGGAGACAGACCACCCTGGTGGGCCCTAAGTGGAGTGAACTAAAGAGAAGTGAACTCTTCGCCGCCTGCTGCGCAAGCGCAAGGACCCGAGTTCAATCTCTAGCACCAAAAAAAAAAAAAGAGAAGTGAACTCACACTTCACCACACTACTGTGAGTGAAGGCATGAGGTGGCACAGGCACTCTCTCAGGGCTAAAGGTATGCTCCAGACTATAAGAAACAAACACTCAGAAGTTCCTCAGCTGGGCTAGTCCAACCCTCCCTTCTGGTGTAAATCAGAGGAATTAACAGGCTCATCCCAGAGCCTCCATAGTTCAAATACAACTTCAAAGTCCTCCACTCAGCCATTGAGTTATTTTTCATTACACACTGAAGGTCAGATGCTGGTCTTAATTTGAAAAATTAGATATTAATTTAAAAATAAATTTTTAAAAATTGTGGTTAAAGGGGAGCTGAGAATGTAGTTGTCCTATAGCACTTGCCAAGAATACATGAAGCCCTGAGTTGGATCCTCAGCACCACATAAGAAAAAACGTTGTAGGCCCAGGGATTTAGTGCAGTGGCACCACACCTGCCTGGCAAGCGCAAGGTCCTGAGTTCAATCCCCAGTACCAAAAAAAATTAAGTTGTGGTTAAATACATACACCTTTTGGGTTTTTTCTAGTTCTGATGTTTGAACCCAGGGCACTCTACCATTGAGAAAGGGTCGCATGTACCCCTGGATAGCCTGGAACTAATGATCCTCCTATATCAGCCTCTGGAGTGTTGGGATTACAGGTGGTTGTCATCAGGCACAGGCTCAGCCCTTTTTATTTTCTTATTTTGAGACAGTGTCTTGCTAAAATTGCCCAGGGTGGGTTTAAACTTCCAATTGTCTGCATTAGCCCTTCAGGACAGTAGTTGGGAAGCCCAGCCCACCTTACCCATTTTTAAGTGTACAGTTCAGTAGTGTTACACTCCCACTGCTGTGCAACTGATCTCCAGAACTCATTTCATTTTCCAAAAGTGAATTTCCACACCCTTTAAATATGAAGGCAACTTTAGTTGGTAAGATCAACAAATCATCAGTGTGAATTTGAGGTGTGTCTTAAAATATCTGTATTGCAACCAGAAGTAGCCACTTGGAGGATAATGTTGAGGCCCCCAGGAGGATCCATAATGGAATGCCATGCAAACCACCCGTCATGGCATTCTATTTTTTTCTATATTCCCATACTTTTTGTGCAGCTCAAAACTTCCTCAATAAAAAGGTTGCTTGTGTTACTTGGGATTGAACCCAAGGCCTTCACATCAAACTCCATCCCCAACCCCTTATTTCATTTATTTTCTTGAGATTAGGTCTCACTATGCACTTCAGGTTAGCCTTTAACTCACTATGTAGCCCAGAATGGCCTTAAACTCCCAGTGATCCTCCTGCCTCAGCCTCCCAAGTGCTGCGATTACAGGCATGTGCCACCATGCCTGGCCTCTTTATTTTTTTAATTTTGAGACAAGGTCTTCCTAAATTGTTAAGTTGTCCAGGCTGGGCTGGAACTTGTAATACTCCTGCCTCAGCATCCCAGAGTGCTGGGATGACAGGCATGCACCACCATATCTGGCTAATGAAAGTTTTAAAAATTGTGCCAGTTCATCAAAGACCAAATCCAAACAGCTTTACTAGGCTTTGTCATGTTTCATCTTGGTATTGGCTCCAGCTCTGTCAAGAACCACTGCCGTCCTGGATCGGCTGGCTCTGTTACCCCTAGGAAGCCGCTGTCCCCCAGGGCTCCGACCTTAGCCACGTACGGTCACCTACACCCACACTGCCCTCCAACCCCGTGCTCGGCCCCTCCCCAGGGACCTGGCACGACTCCACCCGTCCTTGCCCTTCCCCAGCAGCTGGATCCTCTCGGCCTTATACGGTTCATTCCCCAACACCACGTGTCCCGCAGGGTCTCTGGCAGGACTGTCTCTAACACAAGGCGCGAAAAAGGAGGCCTAGGCCAGGATCTGCCCCTCGAGGTGACACCCCAGGAGCCCGGGGTGCCGAGTCGGGACAGAGAAGGTCACAGCCAGAGGCCACGGGGCAATTTGGGGGCCGGAAGAGACCAGGCTCGAACTCAGGACTCACCCAACAGAGACGACAGTTGCGCGCACCGCCGCTTCGGAACCAACCAATCACCTGACCGGGGTGGGCCGGACACGTCTCTTCCGCTGGCGTAGCTCTGCAGTTTCCGGCTCCTCCGACCTCAGTGTCTGCCGGAAGATGGGTTGCCGCAGGCCACTACTTCCGCCCTTCATGGGTGGGACTTTTCCCGTCAGTTGCGGCGGGGACTGCTTTGGCGTTGCCCCAGACTTTCCAGCAAGATGGTGTGGCCGAGCCAAGGTCTCACTCTTAAGGCTCCTCTTACCAACAGGAGGAGCCGCGATCTTGTGTCTGGACGTTCCCGGCCCTCCATGCCCACCATCCGCTGCCTCCCTGTGCATGTGCTTTAATCTGAGCAATGCCAGTGGCCTGGGTAACTCCCGTTACACTCCAAGTTTCAGATTATTAGACGTTCCCTCCGTATTTGCCCTTACAATCAATCACAGTCCCTTCGCTGGGCTGAGAATTTCTCTTCCCTACTCCGCTGTGGCTTAGCAATATTGGTGCCTGGCTCGCTTCCCATTCAAGTGCTCAGCACCCAGCCCCAAGGATGGCACTGGGTGAACTGCGGGTGAAAACTCGATTGAATTAGTTAGTACAGGCTGAGGCTCAGAGATTCAAGAGTCCCCATAAAACTCTGGTATAGCCTCTGCAGGAGAGGATTAAGATGTAAAAATCATGGATGGATATTTATTAGATGCCGATGTCGGTGGTCAGAACTACACAGAAAAGGACAAGACCTCCAACACTGGAGGAAAACAGATTGAAATAGAGGAAATAAGCCCCTAAGTCCATGTACCAAGGTTCAGGAGAAAAGTCCTGGTCCTTCACTCATACCCAACTGAGTAACATCCCACATCACCAGGAAGAAACAAAAACACCAGCTGGAGGCCAGGCGTGGTGGCGCAGGCCTGTAATACCAGCACTCAGGAGGCTGAGGCAGGATTGCTGCAAGTTTGAAGCCAGCCTGAACTGCATAGTGAGACCCTGTCTCAAAATAAATAAGTAAAAATAAATAAATTTATTACATTAAAAGACACATTGTTATTAATCTCCCTCAAAATTCTTCCCCTTGCTTAGAACACACTTATCCTTACCAAATTTTCTGTGCATCAAGGGTGCATCTTACCAAACTTTCAAGTGCATCGAGGGTGGTATAGCCACAGACTTTCCACTTTTTTTTCCTTTGTTTTGAGACAGGGTCTCACTATGTAGAGACTGACCTATGTAGAGAGCTCACAGCAATCCTCTTGTCTCAGCCTCCCAAGTGCTGGGCTATAGGTATGCACCATCATGTCCGGCTCTTGCCACTTTCTGAAGCAGTTCTTGAAGTCCTCTTTTACAAGGTGTGATAAAAAATATGGTGACTAGGGCTGGGGATTTAGCTCAATGGTTCTGCTACCTGCCTTGCAAGCACAAGGTCCCAAGTTCGATCCCCAGTACCAAAAACAAGACAAAACAGTGACTGCTGTTGCCAAGTACCATGCAATGGAAAAGTAGGCTTGCAAAAATATGATGGTGTGTCCTCCTCTACCTTATTCACCAGATCTGGCACCATATGACTTCTGGCTCTTCCCCAACGTCAAAATAAACATGAAAGGTAAACATTTTGAATTGGTTCAAGACATCAAGGTGAGGCAGCCATGACAGCAAAACTAAAGACAGGAACTGCTTCAGAAAGTGGCAAAAGCAATGGGGTAAGTGTGTTCAAAGCAATTAAGAGTATTTTGGCAGGGATTAACAGCAATGTGTTTCTTACCATAATAAAATTTATTTAATTTAATTACAGCATATTTCCCAATCACACCTCCTAGCCCAGGACTGAGCTCTCCTACTCCCCTCCAGGGCTACTCCTCTGGCTTGCTAAACTCCATACACTCAGCTGGAGACCAATGTGGTCAGTTGGATTTCCACTTTGACTCTGCTCATAGGCAGACTCTATGTAGGCAGATGAGGGGCAGAAGACCTCAGGTGCAGTGCAGGCTGGAGCTGCTCTCTCTGTAATGTCCTAACTCTGGCTGCTCTTCCAGGTTTGATTCTCCTGACCCATCAATTAGTCACTTGTAGCTCCATCGATGGGGGCCTGCCCATATCCAGTTGGTGATGTAACCTTACTTGAGGGCTTTGTGATTTCATTGTGGCACTTTCATTTCGGTGAACAGGTGCCAAACATCTTGCACAAATAGTGAAGTAGGGAGCCGTGCTTGTTACTTCCCTTGGTTCCCACATCTTACTTCTTAGTCCTGTCTCCTCCTCCCACTTTAGGTTGGTTTCCTAGAATCCCTGAGGCAGGGATTTTAGTACATGTGATTTATCCAGGGAGTGCTGGGCAGGCAAAACCTCCTCTGAGGGGCAAGGGAAGCAGGATAGGGAAGAGGAAAGATGGGAGTAAGGGTGTGGTTTCAGGTAAGATCTAGGTAGGTTAGCCATGCAGCACTGCCTACAGGTGAAAGACTGGGTCTTGCACACACACACGTGTGTGTGTGTGTGTGTGTGTGCGTGCGCGCAGTATCTCGTATTGAACCCACGGCCTTTGCATTGAGCTACATCCCCAGCCCTTTTTTATTTTTGAGACAAAGTCTTGCTAAATTGCTAAATTTCCCAAGCTGCGCTCGAATTTGTGATCCTCCAGTCTCAGCCTCCCAGAGTGCTAGGATTATAGGTGTGCACCACCACACCCAGCTGGACTTGGCCTTTTGTTTTTCGTTGGCTGCAGGTGAATGACATGACCTCTTAGATGTTGAGGTTCAAGGGAGGGCAGGCAGTTCTTCAGAGAAGGGTGCCAAACAGGCATAGCATCTACACCCAAGACATTCCCTGCATTTCAATTTTGGTCTGACGAAGGAGCTAAGCTTTAAATTCTTATAATTTGCCAGGAGCTCATCTAAGCACTTTGTAGGAACTAATTTAATCCTCCCTCCTCCCATGTTTGGGATTGAACCAGGTCTTTGTGCGTGCTAGGCAAGTGCTCTACCACTGAGTTGCATCTCCAGCCCATTTTTTAAGTTGTGCAGGCTGGCCTCAAACTTGTGATCTTGTTTCAGCCTACCATGTAGCTGGGATTACAGGTGTATGACACCGTGTCTGACTAATCCTCTATAATTTTTAGTACATCACTATTTTTTTACCTCCCATCTTTTTCCCTTTTTTTTGCTTCTCTTTTCTCCCTGCAGTGTTGGGGTTTGAACCCAAGCCCTTGTGGATACTAGACAATTGCTCAACCACTGAGTTACATTTCTAAACCTGATTTTGTTTGTTTTTGTTTTTGTTTTTTGTTACTGGGGATTGAACTTGGGACCTTGTGCTTTCGAGGCAGGCACCAGAACCACTGAGCTAAATCCCCGGCCCTCTAAACCTGATTTTTAAACCCAACTTTACAGTTACAGACATGGTGGTGCATGCCTGTAATCCCAGCACTCTGGGAGGCTCAAACAGAAGGACTGCAAGTTTGCTGGGAAATTTAGTAATTTAGAGAGATCCTCTCACAACATAAAAAATAAAGGGCTGGGTATATAGCTGGGTCCAAAGGACCTAGGTTCAATCACCGGTACTGAGGGGAAAAAAAGTGTATAATAAGCCATTTTCACATCTTCCCCACAGAGAAAAAACCTTTTCTAAAGAATCTTGTATTTTCCTCTCAATCCCTAGACTCACTTTCTTTTTTTTTGTTTTTATTTTTTGGTTTTCTGAGACAGGGTCTCACCACGTAGTTCAGGCTGGCCTCAAACTCGAGTTGATCCTTTTGCCTCAGCCTCCTGAGTGCTGGGATTACAGGAGTGTGGTTTTTAAAAAATTTGTACGTATTTGTCATACATATTGATCACACTCATCATAGGAAATCTGTACCTGTACATGACATATCTTGAATCTTTTTTTCCATTCCCATCCCCTCCCTTCAACCTTTTTTTCCCCTCTCCATTTACAAACACTTTTTTTCAGTACCAGGGATCGAACTCAGGACCTTGCGCTTGGAAGGCAGGTGCCGTGTCACTGAGCTAAATCCTTGGGCCCATGCTTTTTTTTTTCCAAAGAAAATAAAAATCGTTTATTCTGGGTGAAACAGAAGTGACCATGGGTAAAAAAAAAAAAAGAAAAAAAAAGTGACCATGGCATGGGAACAAGGAACTCAAGTGACCTTAAGTGGTATGCTCCAAAGCAGAAGAGGTTGCACAAAGTTTTACAGGCCAAGAACAAAGAAAGTCGTAAATCAGTGTATGCCCTGAGTATAGTGCTAGGGCACAAGGTAGGCAGTCGGAGGAGAGCAGGGCAACCTCTCCTCGGGCTCAAATATCCTGGGTTCCTGGCGGGTGGTTGGTGGCAGCTAGGGGCCTGGGTTCCATCAAGCTGCAGTGCAAACACTAACCAAACTCCAGGGACAAGAGGTCAGGTCAGATGCAAAGCTTAGCCACACGCAGCTATTTTTATAAAGTGCCTGAGACAGCCAAAGATCATTCTGGCTCTGGAGAGCAGCATTCCCACTGCCCACAAGCAGGAACCAGGGCTGCTGTCCTGTTACGAGATCAGACTGATACAGGGGAAAACCACGTAACTCCCAAACTGCTAGATGTCAGACACACGAGTTCCTGTTCCCCGAAATAATGAATTCTAAGAAACAATGGAGACTAGGAGTAGGAAAATTAATTGTACAACAGGAACAGGGAATAGGGATAGCTCCTGACAGGAGGGATCCCAAATGGGTTGACCTACAAAAAAATTTCCATTTTTTCCTTTTTCTATTCTTTCCCTCCTCTCCACCCTCCCTTGTTCCCCTTCCCATTTGAACAAACTATCCTCCATTCTGGTCCTTATTTTCCCTTTGGGTTTTCACACAAGATTTTTTTTTTTTTTTT